TCAAGTACTCATCCATGACTGATAATGACTTTAAGAAATGTTTTGAGAAAATCTTGATCGCATTCACCAACATTTATCATCTTCTGTGACTTGGAAGTGTGATAACCTCAGTTCATGCAGCCTGTTCGAACAATAGTGGAGAATGGAATCTGGAGAGGTCCACTAGGGATGAGGGCTGCAAGGCTGTAGAGCGCGACAAAGAGATGCATTGTGGGAGGAGGAGGCACGAGTCAGTGGCATCGTGAACTGAACAGGGAACTCAGAGTATCTCATACCTGAAAGAGGGGCCACACTTAGTATGGGAATTCAGCTGACAAACAGTGTCAAAGTCATGCAGTAAATATGTCGTATTTTATAATGTGTAGGATGACGTGTGAAATGAAGCACTAAAGTATTTGTGAATCAGTTTTTTTACTCAGCCATGTGTGTTTTAACGTTGTCTGTTTGAGAGCCTGTCACATCAGAGTGTGTCTGTCACTAACACAAAGCAGTCAAACTTCTTATTTAATCCATGGATTAGGCAGATCTGGGAGTGGTGCCTGAAATGACTAGTGTAGGTTGAGGGGTCTGCTCTGCTACCAGCTTCTTGTCTTCAGACAGAAGCCACAACACATGCTGTCATTTCCGTTTATCGCTGATTGCAGCTTGACAGGTGCACGTCTGGTGACTCAGGTTTCACACATGCTCATCATACTCAAACTACATATGTTCATTTCCTGCACATAGTCTTCAGTCAGAGTCAGTTCCTGATGACACTGTTTAAAAAAGAGTATAAACAGAATGAAAATTATAAAAAAAAAATTAAATCATTAATGTTTACATGACACTTGCTGTTTAGTGACATGTTACAGCTGTGGTACATGGCAACATATTATTATTTTATTTATTTTTATTTTAGTTTTAAGTTGTAATCTTACAGCTGAATATGAATGGAAATGATCTCATACACTTGTTTGTTTTCCTCAGAAAGCCAATCTACCTCTCTCAGATGATGCTATTGCTTTGACATGCTGACACAAAACTGATTTGTACTCGTGTGTAAATAACAAACAACTTAATTTTGAAGCAATGAGCCAACAGGACAGTTTTCAATCCAATGATCTGTGTGGTGAGAGGAGTAAACATTTAAAGGCCTGCAGCTGGACGTCACTCATCCCTCTCACAAACATCAGGGTGTCCTAGCTTTGCCTAAACCTCAACATTTGCAGCCTTGTGTCACACACACACACACACACACACACACACACACACACACACACACAAACACACACACACACACACACACAACTTTCCACCTTTCCACCCGTGTCAGTATGCAGGAAGACAAGAAGTAAAGGTGTTGAGCTACCTGATCTGTTCAGCAAAAATAATGTTCTGGACCAGTGCATCTCTGTAGTCACCATCTGTGCATAAAAGGTATTCAAGGTATGACGACAGGAAAGAGAAGTTCAGTTGAAAGGTCAATGTTTTCTCAAACTGACGACTGGCAATGTGCCAACGAGCCTGCGCAGGCACAAGGGCTCTGAGAAGTAATACTAAAATGTAAAAAAAATACTACAATACAGCAACAACACACAACCATGTGAACTGAACTTAAGTTTGCACATTTAAAGAATGTCCCACATCCGATTGTTAAATCGTTGCTGCCCTCAGGTAAAAGTGACGTTACTATGATGGTGTACATTCATGTTACATACCATATGTTGTGGTTTTTGTCAAGTTAGCTTTTTGATAAATGTAGAGAGAGAAGTACAGTATTTCCTTCTGAAAGTAAATAGAGCAAAAAGAATCATAAACTAAATGCAATATTCAAATAAAATACTGGAATCAAATAAATCCACACATGTAAATGTAACTGTAACTTTCCATCTCTACCAGGAAACAGCAGAAGCAGCTTTTTTCAGATATCTATAGAAGGCAAATTTAATCTGAAACAACAAAATGATGTGTCATTGTAACAATAATACATTTGACATTCTGACATAATCCCAGATATTGTAATAAAAAAGATAGAATCATTATCAGATTAACACAATAAAATTGAAAACTATGTTCTATCTAACATTTAACAGTTAACTGTATAACCTTTGTGGTTCAATATTTATCAGCATGGTATTATTACACATAATTTCAAGAATTACATGTGGATTTGAACATGTTAATACACAATAACAGAGCAGATATTTTTGCAATAAACAACCCCCATATTAAATAACCTTGTCTTCTCTGTTATGCAGAGAGCATAAGAAACAAAGCAAACTAAAATGATTGCACTGTATTGAAAAGAAAAAAAGAAAAGCCTTTAAGGTCTTGAGTGTATATGCAGCGACTAAGTTCTGAACACATCCAACCAATGTCATTTTATAGCCAGACCATAAAAAGTAAACATATTTCTATGGGAAGGCTGTGTATCATTTAAAAACATGGTCTTGAAATGTTTTTCTTTGTTTTTCTGGGTGAGAGCTGAGAGCCACTGGAGGACATTCGAGAGCTGCTACTCTTCATTTCATTTTCGAGGGTCTAATTCTTTTGAGACAATGAGGCCTTTTCACTGCAATGAAGCTGTAAAGATTTACAGACGTAAACGATAAAATCCATGAATTAAATACATTTCATTCAATTACTTTAGTTTGGGGGTCCTGTGCATTCTGCTTCACTGTCTCACTGTGTGTTAACATGTTCTAATAAATAAAAAAAAAAGACCTTCAAGCACTTGATGCTTCAGTATGTTCAACTTGTCAAGTTCTGAAAAAATATCCCACCAATGTCACTTTAAAGCCAAAAAATAATAACCAAACATCTTTCAATTTGGAGGCTACGTATGATTTGAAAACATGGTCTTGAAATGTTTCTCCTTTTTTTTCTGGGTGAGACTTGAGAGCCACTTGAGGACATTCGAGAGCTGTAACTCTTTATTTCATCTTCTGAAGTCTAATTACAGCGTTTACAATCTTTGTTTTTGGCAGTTTTGCTGCATTCTTCATCAGTCCCAGATAGATCAAACTACACAGATTGTGTTTAGTCTGGCGCCTCACTTCACTCAAATGACATCAGGAGGTAAATCTAGCTTTGCCTGAGATAAAAAAACAGGACAGTGTTTACAGTTTGTCCTTCTCTGTGTAGCTCTCAATGTAACCCTGTCCCCTGGAAAATAGTATATGAAATGTATTAATTGATTGAAAAGTAATTAAGAAGTATAAAAATGTGATTTGAGGGAAACAGTTTTGATGAGAAAAATCTTAACATTTGACATCAAATGTTATTGTGTGCATTATTTTATACACATTTCTGCGGGAAGCATGATACATTTATTGTCAATGAAACCATGAGATTGTGGAGTTTGAATATATTTCTGACGGTCTGACGAAGGGTTCATCATATGAACTATATAGGGACAGAGGCGATTAGGGCTTTGGTCTCCTTAATTCTGTTATTCTGAGTTTTATTTGGAATATAAAAGATATAAACAATATCCTCCAATCTGAATAACTGCCTTACACAAATGTAATGTTTTAAAAAGCAGTGTAACTCCAACTGAATACCTATCCAGTGATAACAATGGCCAATCTAAGATTCCTCGTAATCCTTGCCAATGACGTACCTTTGCTTTCCCATTATAGTTGCTGACTTTTCTGAGATCTGTATTTCCATATCAGTCGACGGGAGACAGACAGACTGTCTGGTGAGAGCAGGTGATCATTATCTGCCAATCCTCCAGCGGACAGACGGCCCTGCTGTTCATGCCTCACTGTATATGTGGGAGGTATTCTGTGCCCTGATACCTGCGAATCCTGGAAATACCCAACTGTCATGTTCCTTTCACCGTGCAAAAAGCTTTGGAATAAATAAGTCACTAAATAAAAGCTCCTATAGTTTTATGAATGCATGCAATTTTGTGGCTGTGCATTCATTCTTTTAAAGTTCACCATAAAGAAAACACATTGTATTAAAGGCAGTTTAATCTTACACCTGATGTTTATAAGACAGATTCCATCAGTTCAATAGGTTTTCCCTGGCAGCCATTGCTTTAATGTAGTAAAAAAAAAAAGAGGTTGCACTTCTTAAAGATCATAGCACAATGAAGAGAAACAATTTCAGTGGTGGTGATAAAACAGGTTAAACAACTTTCATGTTTTCTTTGTTCAGAGGGGAACAAAAATAATCCAATATGTTCACTTTAAAATAACATTACTTTTTTTTAATGGGAGATGCTAGACCACGATACCTACAAATCCTGAAAATACTCCTCTGAGCTGATAACATGCATAACACTGCATACATACATTAATAAGCAAATCAATGCATGAAAATAAATATCTGCATGCAATAAGAGAGACAGGGTTTGTTCATTTCATCATTTCACTGTGTTGTGTTTTTCCTGGTTGCAATTCCGTTGCAATCAAGCCAGTTCTTCAATCAAATTTTTTTTAAATGTTTAAACTCATGCAAGAGCAGAATGAAGAGCAGATATTTCATCAGGCCTAATGTTTTAGATTTAAAAAGAAAATTAAAGGGGACTATACTTTTCAGAGAGGATGCATTTGGTTGTAGCCTATATGTACACTTATAAATAACTTCATTTGATTTTTGATTTTAAAAGATTATAAAATAAGTTTTCAAATTCTTAAGATCAACCATGTAAAGGTCAAATTATCCATTATAAATGCATCATTCTTCAATGTAAATTTAATGACTGATCAATAAACATGTTAGAACATATGTTAAAAAAAACTGCAGTGTCCATCCCTGGGAAAAGGATGAACCCCACATATCAAACACCACGTGCAAAGGAATGTCAGTCTTTGATCGTCCCTCTCCAAAGTGGGAATATAAGAAAGATTTTCTAAATAAAAGTAAACACCTTGTTTCAACCTGCAGCTGCACGGAGCCTCCGACACGCTGCCCCGAAACAGCACGAGAAACCCGGCGAGATGAAAGACACCGATAACCATACACCACCTGTGGGAGGAGTGTGTGAGTCTGTGCGTGAGTCTGTTATTGAGAGTGTGTGTGCGAGAGAGTTTGTGCGTGTGCACCTGCGGACATGATCGTTTCGTGGCTCTGACTGCAGCTCCCGACCCCGACCGGACGCACAAGAACCGCACACCCGACGCTCCGAGCCATGGACCCAGCAGAGACAACCCCCGCCGACCAAGGAGCGCAGCTTCTGGACATCAGCGCCTGCTCGCCCGCTCCGCAACCCGGAGGTGAGCCCGTCCAGCTGGTGAAGCCGCCCTACTCATACGTGGCTCTCATCGCCATGGCCATTAAGGACAGCCCGGATAAGAGACAGACCCTGAGCGGCATCTACAGCTACATCCTCTCCAAGTTCCCTTTCTACGAGAAGAACAAGAAAGGCTGGCAGAACAGCATACGGCACAATCTGTCTCTGAATGAGTGCTTCGTTAAAGTCCGCCGGGAGAGCGGAGGGGACAAGAAGGGCAACTACTGGATGTTGGACCCGGCCTTCCACGAGATGTTCGAGAGGGGGAACTACCGGCGGCGGAGGAGGGTGAGGAGACCCTACGCACCCCCCGCGCCTTACCTGGAGTACCCCGAGCCGCTCTACCTGCCTCACTACGTGAGCAGCTCCTGGGGTGTGCGTCAGCCACAGCCCGGCTCGTCCCAGGTCATCACCGGACACACCCGCTGCTTGTCCCCGGTGAGTTCGTACTGCCCTCCCCCGCACTTCCAGCACCCTCCCTACGGCGCCTTCCACTGCCACCTGCCCTCCGTGCTGGTGCCCCACAACGCCTGCCCCTACGGCGGAGTCACGCAGCCGATGAGCCCCGACGGAGGCACCGTGTCCGTGGGGTGCAACTACCAGCAGTTCACCTCCTACTCAAGACAAGCGGAGCCGCAGGTCGCCCTCTCGTTTGACCATTAGAGTTTTGATCTGATCGGATTATTTGACAGCCAGTTCACAGACTCTGAGTTCATCTGTTTCACCATTTCAGTTCAGCTGTCAGGTTCAACCAGAACTGTTCCTTTGACAAGGTGTGGGCTAAATCTGTTGACTGTGAAACTGTTTCATACGTTTTTTGAGAACTTCTCTACACTTTCACTTATCCAGAATTACTGCCAGAGTTCATTGCACAGTGTGAACTGCAGAAGGCAGTGTCTTTGTGTCTGAGGCTCAGTTTATTCCTTAGTTTGCAACCAAATAAATGGTTTTTATTTTATTTTATAATGAGCCTACACA